GGATGAAATTTTAGGATACAGAAGCGTTGCATATAGGTAGCCTAATGATGGTTTTATAACATATGGGCTTTCTTGTGTGTTTTGAACTTTCTTATAAGTGACTTCTTCTGTTGCTTTAGTTCAGGTTGATGAATTATTGAAATGTTTTGACCAGCATTTCCATAAGTCTGACTGATGACCTCAGTACGTTGGTTTCTTATTTTTCTTCTTGAAGATTCAGGAAAAGCAAAGGAGACAAGAAGAGCAGAGGAAAAGACATTTAGAGGCTGCAGCTCTACTGAGTGAAAGAAATGCAGATGGGTGCGTTGATCAAAGAATGTAGGAGACATCTTGGTGCTCGTGGGCTCTGCTTCAAACAGATTAGCGTTCTCTGCTTTGATTATGGTGGGAGCAGACATGGTTCTTTCTTGGGTGTTCAAAGAAAGGTGGGAAGTTGTGCTGGTTTCAGAGTTTTAAAAGAAATAAGAAATTTCTCTAATGATGGGTCTGTATAGTCCCACTAGGTATGGGTGGTGGGCATTCAGATTGATGTGATACTGCCTAGTGGCCAAGGCTGAGGATATCTGACAAGGAGAGAGAGATTCAAAACCAGTATCACAATGTTGGATTTGTTTCCATATGATTTTTTTAAAAATTAAGAATGTTAAATGCTTTTTACAGTTGCCAAGTACCATGAGAACTTAAAATCCAGTTTGTATTTCCTAGAAAATAATAGCTCGTGATTTCATTGTTTGGAATTCCTGGAATGTTATATTTAAAGTTCTTGTGTGAGTCACGCAAATAAACACATGATCATTTTAAATGCACTTAAAACCTACGCTCCATTTTGGGGGCATAGAGAAATAATATGTCCAACATTTTTCTTGCAGTTTAATTGTAGCTAGTCGTTTCCATCCCACTCCACTGCTGCTATCTTTGCTGGACTTTGTGGCCCCCTCAAGGCCGTTTGTGGTCTACTGTCAGTATAAAGAGGTAACACTGAAACAAATGGATAAGAATTCTTGCATCCCAATGTTGATTCTCATATCGTGGCCCTAGGAGTAATCCTTAACAGAACTCTGTTTATGCCTTCAGCCTCTGTTGGAATGCTACACAAAACTGCGGGAAAGAGGAGGGGTCATCAACCTCAGGGTGTCTGAAACCTGGCTCAGAAACTACCAGGTATGTGTTCTTACAGCCAGTCCCAGGAGCTGCTTTCTTGGGTCCCTGGCTCCTTGCACTAGTGCCGGGAAGTTGTTAAATACAGATGTCCCTGTTTCCATCTATAGAGATGAAATAGTCTTATGCCTATAACTCAGAGAGAGTACCTTGATCTTTCCTGACCCCTTTATCTCATGTCAGGGTTTATTACTCTGTAACTCCAGTCCAGAGACATTTAAAATGCGAACAGTTATGTTTGTGTTTACTCAAGGCCTCAAGATGACCATAGAAGAAATAACTGATAATAGCAAAATTCCTAAGCCAAGAAAGTGACCCTTTTCTTCCCTGCTGGGATGTCTTTGCAGTGAGTTTTCAGGATTTACTGTGGATTTTTGGGCAGTTCAGGTTCTCTGTAAGGCAAATGTCAAGATGGAATTAGAAGTATAAGAGAATTATCAGGGTAAATGCCTTTGAAAGGTAAAGGGGGTGGGAGCAGGATTAGGCAAGGAGAGTCATCAGACCATATAG